ATCGTCCCAGTCACTGATGTGATCATTCTGGTTGACCAGATGCCGCACTGGAGAGGGAATACCAGAACCGGCTCCCTTAGAGGGGGAAACAGAGAATTGAGATTGAGCATCGAAGTCGAGCTTAGGTACATTCAGGGTGTTGGCCATCAGGCCACGTCCTGGGCTCGGACTAGGAGCTTCGCTCCTGATGTCGGCAGGTGCGTGTCGCTTTTCTTTAGACGGATGCAGGGCAGTCTCGGGAATGCGATCACGAGGTTGAGGCGTGCTCAAACGTTCAATTCCAACATCCGAATCATCATTCAACTGCTCCATGATAGCATTGAGCTCCTCATCGTCAGGCGAATCCTCAGCCTCATCAGCATGGGCTTCAGATAGCACAGGCTCACGCTTGGGTGAAACTGCAGCTTTGGAAGTGGCATCGCCCTTCCCATCATCCACCGGCTTGGGGCCAAGCGTTGTCTCCTCAGAAGAAGCGGGGACATATTCGGGAACAGAGGCTTTGAACTGGAAGGGCTTCGCAGTGGGTGACAGGAAAGTGTGCTTCTGGTTATCTTCGGCAGTCTTTTCCTGCTCTTTGTTGCCAATATTTCCTCCTTCCACGGATACCGACTCTGACTTGGCCTGTATGTCGGTAGCCGGTCCTGACTCCTGGGCTGCTTCCGTACTCTCGTTCTTCTTATCAAAAGGTGTCCAGGTCGACGCTTCACTGATGGGCGTTTCTTTCCTCTCAGCGAACTTGTCATCCTGAATCGAGACAGGTTTCTGCGGTGCTTCATTGCTATCTCCGCCCTCTGGTTGTACGTTTTCTTTGCCTTCAGCAGGCACACCGTGTGCGCTAGACACTTGCGATTGTTGAATGTTACCGGACTCTGCCAATGCGTGAGACATGCTGAAGTGGGCCTCTCCATCTGATGCTTCATCACCGCGACGTGCACGCTTATGGCGATCAGTACGAACTGGACGGCCGTTGTCGTTCTCGACCTCCTCTTTACTGTCCTTGTCTTCCACGGTCTCGTCTGGTCGCACGATGGGAATGGCCTTGGACTTCTTGGAGGCCTTTGATGCCTCCGAGACATCAACATCGTCGAATATTTTGGTCCTGCCATTTGCAGGTTCCTCAGACTTCGTGGTGAAGCCACTTCCAGTAGGGTTGAAAGCAGGAGCTGCGACATTGAAAGATGCGGTAGAAAACTTAAATTCGCCGGAGCCGGGTTTTTGCGTGGCTGTATCGTTAGCAGCAGCACTGGGTGTGAAGGGGGTTGCGGTAAGATTGAAGGCGCTAGCGGAGGGATTGAAGCTGGGTACAGAGCCAAATGTGAACATGGGATTTCCAACAGCCGAGGGTTGGAAGGTATTTTCTTGAAAGGGAAATTGCTGGGACGGGATCGAGGCAGTTGGGTTAAACTCCTTCGCATCGACGTTGAAAGTAGAGGACGAAAGCTTGGAACGATGCCCGCCTGTGTATGAGCCAGCACTGGGCTTCGGCTCATGCCACGGTATGTTATTCGCAAGTGGACCATGTCGCTGAGGCGTTCCAGAAAGACTCGGGTTTGTATCGATATCCGAGCCATCATGGATGTTACCTGCTGCATAATCGCCGCCGTAGAACTGGTGCATGTGCTGAGGATACTGTTGGGATGCAAGAGCGTCGGCGCTGGGGAAAGCCCAACGAGATTGCAGAAGCTCAGAACCATCGAAATTGTGAAGAGGCGGCTCACGATCGCCTTCTTCAAGCTGTCGGTCGATAGTCTCCTCCAGATGGTAGTTAGGCGGTATCCTGTCCAGACCCTTCTGTAGCGTTTCGCTCAGGTTATGGCCACGATCATGGCCACGAGGGGTGGGCTGCGCGATCTCAACGGTAGAGGCGTGGAAGTGATCAGGACCCTCCGTTGGGGTGCGAATGGGACGTAGCAGCTGGCCTTCCGTGACGTGATCCTGCAGCTCATGACCACCGAAAGCCTCCTTCGGTATGCCTGGCTGTTCGTTCAAGCCAGGGTGGAAGGCACCCTGCTCGTTCAATGGTGACACGGGAGACAAAATCGAGCCCAAGTGAGGAAGTGTTCCAGGAATGGATGCGGCGGGACCTGCTTGCCGCGCATTAAAGAAACTCTGGGGAGTGAGTGAGCCTTGGGCAGGAGGTGTAGGTTGAAATTGCATAGGGTATCCAGGAAGTAGATTGTTTTGGTCGACACCGAGGAATGGCGTTTGAATGCTGAACTGCGAAGCCGGGGAAGCCAGAGTCCCCAGACCGGCGGGGTTTGCTGGCTGGCCCAGCTGCGGAGAGAAGTGGTGAGACAAAGATAGAGGATTGCTAGCTGCTGACCCTGTCGGAATCGGTGGCGACGATACAAGGCCGGGGAAGGGGGCCATCTGACTCATAGCAGCGGAGGCCGGGGATATCGATGGTTTAGGTTCATCCAAAAACACACCCAGGGCGCGTAATTTCTCTTCCTGAAGATAAGCAACATATGCATCCCACTCTGCCTTGTCGGGAATGCTGACCCCATACCTCCCGTCCTGTCTTTCCTCGAGGACCTCTGTCGGATCTGGGAAAAGCGGACGACTGAGACCGCCCAACTCAGTATCCAGTACATCCTCCGATCCGACGCTGAATCCACGGGTGTCGTAACCCTGTTCTTCCCAGTCTCTCAACCTTTGTTTGACATCTTCCACCGTCAACAAACGGTATCCAGACTCCTCCGTGCCTCTTTTGTCGTCGAATGGCAGCGAGATATAACATGCTCTCCCACGCCAAACAATCTTCTTCTTAACTCGTTGTACCGGCGTCTGGCTGTTCCTGTCGAGTGCTGGGCTTTTCACGGCGCTCGGCTCTGTAGGAGTATCGAGTCGTTCCGTAAGCGAAGGATCTGTCGGAGTAGGAGGGAGCGGTTTTTCTATCGTTGGGAGTGCCTTGTTGGGCCCTTGTCCCACAAGGGACTGTGCTTCTGTTGAATCCATTGTGATCGGCTGGGGGTCTTTATCGTAAGCGAATCCCCAAAAGTCCTCCTGTCGAAGTGTATCTGCTCGTTTGTGAAGATAATCCCTTGTCCTCTGGCGTGGGAGACTGCCTTCCCGACGAGCCGTTCTTCGGTTTACGAAGTCAGCTAGGGTTGGGGTCTTCAAGAGGTCCTCGTCGCGAGGATCTTGTTCCAGGCCGAGCCAATCGTCAGATGCGTCCTCTGCGAAGTAGTTCTGTGCCGTAATGAACGAAGGAGCCTCACTACCCGAATCGTCGCTTAACCAATTGCTTCGTTCAGTTCTGGGTTGACCGGTGAGGTATTGATTAATCCAATCCTGCGTAAAGTCCTTGATCGACTTCCCACTATTCCTACCAAAAATGTCTCGGGCTGGAGACCGGCTGGAATTGCCGCTGTACAGTTGTCTCGCTGAGCTGTCCCGGGCAGACGGTCTTAAGAGCTCGGGATTGTTCGATTCGGAACCGTTACGGATGCCACTGTGCATCGATACCGGAGAGCTATTTCCGGAATCACGGTCGACAGCTCCGGCTTGACTCAGTGACCACGACAGCCTCCGAGGACTCGGTGCAGCATACGGTGAGCCCCAGGCGGTGGTATAGTAGATACTACTCTCCGCTCTTCGATTCTCCGGCGAGGTTGACGAATCCCAGGTGGCCCGGTATGTGGATAGAGTAGGAATAGTATTCGGGGGATTCGGGGTGACGCTGCGGCCCCGGGGGGAGTTCGACCGGCCAGGTGATCCAGCGGCCGAGAGACTCGACGCTCCTGGCAATGCGGAAATGGGATTCAATGGCACCGTCAGCAAGGAATCGTCACGGAGGTCGGACGGATCTGTAGGATGCTGCGGCGACGGCGGAAGCGCCGAGTTGGCGGAAGATGCGGAGGGACCTAGATCTAAGTGTACAACAGCATCGAGATACTATTAGCCTCTGAACTAGATTCGAGGTGTGACGGGAACGAGAAAGATGACTGGCAGGAGACACCGCCATAGGGAGGTGGATATGGGGGTGGGAAGATGAATTGGAAATGTGGGATTGATGCAGCCAAGGTAACACTTCGACAGGCAGACACACCTTCCGTTTCGACTCCTGCAGCAAGCACTTGCTTGCTGCTCCCCTTATCGTCCAGAATGTTGAAGCATGGAAATCAAAGCGCTGAGACCGAATCCACCTCGCCGATGAGCTGTGATCGACACACGAAAGGAGGGGAAAGGACGAGACAAATCACACGCTTGGACGAGAGCGCGATTGGGGGAGGAAATGCGACCAGTGAGTGGTACCTATAACACCGTGGAATTTGGGGGAGGAAGGGTGGAGGGGGAGGAATAATCTTCAGGGGCGGTGGGTAGTTCCGAAAGAAGATCCCCAAACAGACATCCGCGGCTTGCGGCGACGGTACAAGGACAGAGAAAGAGAGAGAGAAAGCGAATGGATGAACAACAGATCACAGATACCTAGGGTATGCGAGGAAGGAACTTGGGCATGGCGCATCCACAAAGGACAGCTGGATTGAAGTTGGAAGAATGACAAGGATCAAGCGTTGCGACTAGTAGTAGTGGATGAAAGTGGTGGTGGTGGTCACAGAGTAAGTAATTGAGAGGCGGACCTTTATTTTTTTTTTCCTGTACGAATTTTTTTTTTCTGCTTTTTTGCAACTTTTTTTTTTTTACCCTTTGTTCTAGCTGGATCGAATCAGTCTGGGACCATGTCACGATCTGCCAGCAAGCAAGTCCGTTTTTTGACTTTCAAAAGCTGCACAGGCGCGTGAAAATAACAAAACTTAACGCTCAACTACCTAATCAGCAGTGGAGAGCTGCGAGGGCGACCGTTGGGGAAAAGGTAATGGTATGGTAACCAGATATCCGCATTGGGAGCGGATTCTGGCCTCACGACCTTCAAGTTTGGCCTTAGTTGGACGACTAGTGAGCCCGGTTAAGCATGAATTGGGGATAGTGGTGGTCGTTAGCCCGGCATAGTGCCTCAAGCTGGCCAGCTCAACCCGATCTTCATCTCTGACCGCCATCTACGTACGTGGTGCCCGGCTGTCTGTAGGTACCAACCTTACCAAACTCATGCGAGTCAGTGGGTATCAACTTTATGCTCTGCAAGGCGCGGGGGTTCCTTGAGAGTTTGGGAGCAAAACAGAGTATCCGTCTGGAAAGACCCTCTCTCTGTCTGGCAGCCTGCAGGTTGATGGATCTCCCTCGCTACTCTCTGACTCCTCCCCCAGCCTGCCTGTGGAATCTGGCATCCAACACCCCAGCCTTTACAATATAGATGGATACCCGACCGAATGTAACCCCCCAGATTTGTGCAAACCCCCCTGAACCATTGCTTTCACCTCCAATAGATAACAATCACTTGGTTGACGCGTGGGTTCCTGTGGTTCGTGTCTGCATTCAGGGGTAAAACAACGCTACTTGAACCGAACCACGGTTCCCTCGGTTGCCCGTGACTTAGCTAACAACTTCCCCAATTGGGGGAAGTCTTCCAATTCTGCCCAGCCATGTCATCACCGTCAGACGGCCATGACACATTCTTGGCTCCATGTGCGATAACCACTCTTCTGATTTAACTAGAGCATTCATCGTTGAATGTCTGTCTGGACCATCTTAAAGAGTCCCCGAATCTTGCTTTCCAGCATCTGACTACTTCATGATGTCTAGTTGCAAATCCAACTGCCCGCTCCATACTTCTCTGTAGCTGGATCTCTACAAGTCAAATCAAATACTACCAGAGAGATCATCCCCAGGTCTTGGGAGACTTGCCTCGATGTTAAACATATATCGATGCAGTATACATACAGTGCAGCGAAGGCTGTCTGAGAAATAATAGATACATATGTAACAAATCAAGTCACTGTGCGTCAGACTTTTAGAAGTGCAGCATCAGACTTATTCTAGTTCGTGTTTCAACAGGTCACGTCGAACTTGAGCTGGCGGTCGGCAGTGAAAAGACCCCAGTGTTTCTCATCCATGGACTGGCCGTTGTCTCCCGTGCTGTTGGGCTTCCACACCTCGTCGAAGGCCTCGAAATAGAAGACGTCGGTTCCCTTCTGCAGCATGGGACAAACAGCCGATTTGTAATACTGCGCGGCATTCTGGGTACCAGCTTTAGCAGCACCGTAATCGGATCCACCATCTAAAACAATTTATCAGTTCATCTGCATCTCTACTAAGGCGCTGGATGGAGTTGCAAATGTATCTTACCGGTGGGCCAGCCGGTTTCCCCGTTTCCAAAGCGAATATTGCCCGCATTAGCTCCGGCAACCTGCTTAATATGATCCTCCGCCTGCGTCATGTCAGACGAGTAGGTACTGGGAGCATTGTTGATGTCTACATCCTGCCAGTAGGCGAATCCATTGGCCAACCTAAATCGTTATGGTTAACAGAGACTCCCACAATACGAGTATGATCGGGAAAAGAGGGCTTACAGGTAAGTGACACCTCCTTGGATGATGGGGTCGGCAGTGCCATCCGCGAATTTGTTCCAGCTGTCAACGGTGCCAACGGTGACTGATGGGAACTGGTTCTGCACTTGTTGGATTTTACTCAGGAGTGCCTGCGCAGAGAGACTTCCGCGGTAGAGGACCTCAGAGCCCACGGTAATGGCAGACACAACATCTTCATTTCCAGGGACAATTTGCTTAAGGGCGTTGAAGTCCTGGTCGAAAGACTGATCGTAGTCCGCCCTGCAACACGCAATAAGTTAGTTTCACAGAGTCAACGTATATGTCTGAACCGATGAGATTGCCCTACCAGACTCCCAAAACGACTTTGAATCCCTTGGCCTTGGCAGCCGGGACGATATTCTGAGCCGTATTGCAGTCACTGGCCGAGTACGTGCGGACTAGAGTCGTCACACTTTTGAGGGCATCGAAGTCGGCTTCGTAATCACTCGTAGATTTGCAGCTGGAGTCACCATTTTTATCACCTATGGAGAGTCCCAGAGTGCCACTAGCAGACACGGCAGGGATGGCTGCCAACAGAGCAGGAAGCAAGCTTGAGGCACGCATGCTGAAAGGCGCGGTGATTTCAGTGACAGGTTTCAAGTGGTGGATACCGGTCGATGAAGCAGCAAGAAGAGCAGCTGACTAGGGAAGGACTGGATATATGAAGAGAGCGTGGGAAGTCAAGAACCTAGGTTTTGGCTTCTTTCAAAGAGAAGGGGAAGAAAAGGGGAATCTCTGTAAGAGGATGGCCCGTTCCTGGATATATGCAAGCAACCGGAATAGAAAGAACCAGAGAGGAAGGATTGGCAGTACTTAAGTAAGAATAGAAAGAGTTGCACGGCAAAACGTCAGAAGCCTGTGGAGTCATACTTACAGTACAGGGTAGTACCTCCAAATAGATACCCTGGCGGTGGCCTACGAGACAAACGAATAGCTAGACTCGCCTCCCACTGGAACAACTCCGAAAGTCAATTGACGGAAGGGAACCGGCGCTTCACAGCCAGGATTCAGTCGCCGGAAGAGACCATTGTTGGAGAGACCAGACCTCTGAAGGGCCCGTCTACAGTGCCTAAGCCAGGGACGATAGCCAGAAGGCGCCCAGTAAAATCGGTATACACAGGATGTCGATGGGGATCCGTTATCCACCCCTGCCATTCCGGGGTCTCCGGCTAAGATCTCCACTGCAGGCGCCAGGGTCTGGACCCTTGGGCCTCCCCAGTCCATTACCGCCCCCAAGTCGATTCGGCCTGTTCTTCTTTGCTCCATTCACTGCAGAAATATCACCGATCACACAGTTATTCCGGTCTTGTTAATATTCACCATCTCGCCGATGCAACCTGGCATCACTACTGCCAAAATTAAAACACTAGTGTCGTGGTGAGAAAAAAAAAGAAAAGGACCCCCCACTTAAATTCTGCGAGATTGGCCTTCGTTCCGGTTTCAGGCCTTAACTATAATGTGAGGCGAACTTCCCATCATGTCGACGATCTCGTCTTCTCGAATCACTCTCCACTTTCACCTCAATAAATTTAATGAGAGATCATCTCCTGGTCGTCATCAATCAATCACCAGGCGTTCAGACCACAGATGATGTCACCCAGAGGGCCCTATAACGCGTACACCGATTTTGAACCCTGGTAATATGAGCCACGGTTCACGCAAGAACAGGCGGATAAACGACCAATATTGTTGCTGCTGAAAATCCCGCAATATTCTTTCTCCCATTTCCTGATCAATCTTTCTTACCAAAGAGAAGCTTCCTTACTCATCGCAGTGGCGTGCTTATTACCAAGGTTGGATCCCGCGAACTGTCTTGATCTAGACCGCTTACTTGATTGTCCTTTCCCTTCATCCGGGTGAAAGCAGTATCTTTCTGCAGAGTCTTACTCTACAGGCACCTGCGATACCACAAGCTGAGAATTTCAGGCTCCTCGTACTTAAGTTGAGTTTTTTGGCCATCTATATCGCGAGCAAACACCGGAAGATGCCTCGCAATGAACGTTGCCCCATTCCATGGCTTTGTCAAAGACCGAAAGGGTGCTCCATTGGCAGTTTTAGGAAGGCAGTCAATTATCGAAAGCCGAATACCAAATTAATGAGAGAGAACATGAGTTGTCTCATTCAACTGACAATGAACCGTTTTGGCTCCTCTCCCATGATGCCGCTATTTCTCAGTGTTCACGGACACAGTGAAGCAATGTATGAACGTCTGTAGACGCCAATTAGCCTCCAGCGTGTCTGTGGTATACCCTTAGGCCGCTATAAAAGTTTTCACTTTAAATTTTATCAGATCAACACATAAAGGAACGACACAACTCTAAATATGGTTGATAAGAGAGTGTAGCAGTAGTAAAAAGAAGCATCGCGCCCTTCTAGACTCCGAACCCTGCCAGGACTAGTCTAGTTAGTGCCGGGTGATCTGGTGGTGGTCCGAGCGTCCAGAATTCCCAGCGCAGCACAGAGACCACCTTGCCCGTCGGGAGTCGAAGCACACCTAGCAAGCCCGACCATCACCACCACTTTACCTTGATCCTTCTCGAGGGAGAACTCCACCAACCTACTACCGGATTCGGAGTCGTCATAAGCAAATTTCCTACCCACCATGCGATTCTCCGCAACGACCCTCCTGATTACGGCGCTGGCGTGGTTCAGCACCGTGACCGCACACAACATCCAGCTCCGGGCTCATTCCCGCGAATGCTTCCACGAGTCATTGCACAAGGATGACAAGATGACTGTCTCCTTCCAGGTCGGTGACCGGGAATTTGGAGGCAGTGGCAACCTGGAGATCGATTTCTGGGTAGGTTCCCTGAATAGCATAATAGCTGTCAATCTCCGCGCGGACTTTGGGGTGGTTTGATATCCCATATCAAGCTTCCAAACCTGCAAAACCAATCCGAAGAATATAGTCGCTCACGTGTGATTGGAACAAACAGGTCGAGGACCCCCTTGGTAACCGTCAATACTACAAGCACGCCATCTCGTCGGAGGATTACTCGTTCAACGCGCACGCGGACGGCAAATACGTCTACTGCTTCAGCAACGAAGGATGGGCCTCGAACTCCAAGGAAGTCTCGTTCAACGTTCACGGAATTGTCTACGTCCCCGAATCGGAATTGGCGCAGGATCCCTTGGAGGCGGAAGGTAGGATTTAATACCCAATTATCGTTTATACAAATCCTCGGCGACCGTATGAGCTAACCGCTGTTGTTTTTCTGCATCGCAGTCCGCAAGCTCTCGGAGGCTCTGGCACAGGTTAAGGATGAGCAGTCGTACATTGTTGTGAGAGAGCGGGTTCACCGGAACACGGCCGAGAGCACCAACGCCCGGGTGAAGTGGTGGAGTATCTTCCAGCTGGCTGTGCTGATCGGCGAGGGTATTTTCCAGGTGTGGTGGCTCAAGAGATTCTTCGAGGTTAGTCAATCCTTTCTTCGTCCGTCTAGGTGACTATGGCTAACGATGGGAACGTGTATAGGTCAAGCGTGTTGTCTAGAGTGATTATCTTACGAGCGTGATAATTGTAAAGGGCATTCTATTATACCCTTGGCATTCTTCTTATAACTGAAATTATGGAGCTTTTTCTCTTTCTTTTCCAATGAATTAATAAGATCATCTGGATGATTCTTGTTATCATGGGATATACTATCTAAATGTACGAAGCATGTATACAGCCAAAAGTGAACCAGCGCAGCATCAAAGCCCATTATCCCCTTCCCACAACATAAACCCAATGCAACGTAAACTAGTTAGCCTGATTGCAGATAACACACCGATAAGCATTTATCAGCACTTAGCAGCACAAGGTTACTCCGAACGGGCCTCCTGCTACCAATGTACCACCACCCAGGAACAGAAACCCCGCACGAGCCCATCACCCAAACAAACAATCCTGACGACAGGACCATGCCATCACATCACATTCCATCATACGATAAAAAAAAAATAATATTAAGAATCTGTCTTCATGTCTATACCCAATCCATCCATCTATCCTACAATTAATTCTCACCACATACTAATAACCAAAACCAAATGAATCAAATAACAAACAACTCCTCTCTCTCACACCAACCACCCGACCCCCTCTTCTACCTCTGCTGGCGAAGACAATCATGCAACAGCTGCCTAAAAGGCGATGTCCCCTGTAGCTGGTGCCCAGTGGTAAGCTGTCCTACACATTGATACTCTTCGCCCACTCACTCACACCCACATACTAAACATATATTCTATCTATGAAATATAGTCCTCAACCTGCGTCCCCAACCCATCCCTCCTTCCAATCCTCGCCCCCATCCACTCATCGCAGATCTGCCCGCTCGGCTCCAAAGAGCGGTGGGAACTCCGCGCGATACCCTTCGGGTGCCATGTGAGCACGACTACGTTTCTTACGGGCGTGGTGGGGGTTCTGGGTACGTTGGCGTTGCTGGGGTTGCTTGCTTTGGGGGTTTGGGTGGTGAGGGGGGTGAGGAGGAGGGGCGGGTGGAAGGGTTTGTCGTCTGCGTCTTTTGGGAATGGAAATTGGGGGGTTGTGGTGTTTCCGTGGTGGGGAGGTAGGAGGGAGAGGAATGTGTGTAAACTTGGGGGGGATGAGGAGGGGGCGGGAGGGGGGAGGAGTGCTGGTGGTGGTGGGGAGGATGAGAGGAGGCCGTTGTTGGGGGGCGGGTGATTGTGATTGTGAATGCAGTTACACAAGGGATGAATGGGATGGGTGGAGAGGGTAGAGGAGGGTGTAGCTGGTTATATGAATGATATTCTTTATGTCAATGTTATGAGGATCTGACTGGATTCGATTTATTCAGTAGATTTTGTCCTCTGATTCTAATTCTCTGCTAATATGATATTTGCAGATTTAGCCCTGGACAACCTGGCTGACGCGGTACTCGACTACAGTGGGCTTGCCCTTTTCAACGTTGAAGCGTCCCTGGGCGATGAAGACGCGGTTCTCGAGCTCCTTGTAGCGTTCGCTGCCGGTCTGTAGTTTGTTGTGGTTTGTTAAATTGGTGTGTTAGTTATCCGGGCTTGGATGCGGTATATCTCACCTCGAAGGTAATGTGCGTGACTAGAGTACTAGCATTAGCCTCTGCTTTCATTTTGTGTGAGTAATAGACTTACAAGCACTGTTGAACGGAGTCGAGCCATCAGGAGCAGCTCCGGCGAAGACGGCCTGCACTTCGGGAAGCAGGGTGCAGACACCAGTGTAGTTCAGGTAGATGAGCTATAGTAGATGACTGGTGTTAGTTATTGCTCTCGAGAGATGCGAGATGCAATTCACGTACATCATCGCCATCCTTGGGCCTAGATTTAGTCATTAGAATGGAAACGTACACCTTCAGCAAGGTAACAACTCACTTGATAACACCATGCGCATCCAGACGCAGGTGCTTGCCATCGGCATCCGCATGGATGTAATCGTTGCCAACACCGACGAACTCGGCATCAAGAGCAGGGGAGAATCCAGGCGCACTCTGGACAGTGCCGCCGGTCATGGGCTTCAGTCATGCTGGATTGTTAGTGGGAATGGTCTTGTGAGAAGGAAAGGAAGAGTTGGTGGGTGCTTACGACGACCTGCAGGCTGTTCTGCCGAGATGCGCTGCCTTAAAGAATTTAATCAGTTCTCTTGAGCTATGATCCTTGTCTACTCAGTAGATGGCTTGAGAACTTACCGACGCCTAGCGGAGCATCAATTGTGACCTATGTTGGGGGACACACTATTAGTTGTGTGTGGGCACGCGGGGGTTTTGTATTGGAGGCTGTACCTTGAAGGTGAAGGCGGGCTGGAGAGTAGGGAATTCGGACATGGTTGATTTAAAATAAATTGATATGATGATGCTCAAGAGCTATGCCAATCTGTATTATGTTCTGGTGCTTGCTGAAAGAAGTCGAGCAGCTGATAAATCCCGGACGTTAAGCCCCGCTCCTCGGTGAGGGGTCAGGGACACATGTTCCACAAGCAACGGTCAGCCTATGGCGATCCCCCGAGTGGTGATACCCGGAGTGAACCTGATCGCCGCGAGTTAAGGTACTTCGGGCAGTTTATTTACTGTATGGAACTATAGAGGCCGGAAGAGTGACTACCAGGTACTTCTATGAATAGTTATTGACTAGCAAACATCGAGAAGCTACTAAGCTCAGAGTCACATGCGTCGACAGGGGGTGCCAGACCTGGTTAATAGCAATTGATCATTATTTCTTTCTTCTTGAACTGTACAAACTACACATCCTGCTCGCTCACCTTCGTACTACGACCCGTTCAAGTCTCCCCTGTGAGCCAATGGCACACCATCAGGTGCTCTAGCCAACCGCTACGTCTCCTTACAGACCCATGTCTGCCTACCAGATGACTCTGGTATGTACAAGCTGTCTGGTTACCAAACCGTACCATTTACAGTCACCTAATAATAAACCAGAAACCACCCGACAATAGGGTACAGAAGCAGCATAGTGTCCTCCACTATTGAGTAGATCAGTACCACAGAGCCTATCACGACTATAGTTGATTATGGCTTGGATGACAGTGCGGCCAGCGCGTCAACCTTGGGGGTGAAAAAAGAACCCCAAAGTGCAGTGGATGACTAAGACCATCCGACAATCTGATTATCCGTTGCAGGCACGTGGGCCGTTCAGACGACGGTACAGGCTGCGAGTACCTTACATTAGGGGGGACCTTGACTGACAGTGCGGCGCATCTTTGCTGCTCCATACAGCGCTGATTTGTGTTTCTGGTATGCTCAACACCTGACGTGCTGAATTGATTCCGACTGATACCCCGGAGTCAGATGTCCAGAGCAATGTGTGTCTCTCGCAGGGTCAATATTTAAATGCCAGCCAAATCACCCGCGTTCCTCAGCTCTGCTAGTTGATTGTTTCCCTGTTGGTCGGGTTCCAAACAAAACAAAGTGGGTCCACACGCTACCTCGCGCTTTTCCGCATCGGGGCGCTAGCTGTGACGTCGTCGACGATCCAGTTCAACAAAACTTCCATCTCATGTAAATTACCCCCGGTATCGCTATTCTTTGGTCTTGTCGTTAGCTTCGTTTTGGCTTTTTCTCACATCGTGTGTCGCGTGCTCACTGTGTGCTTCATGTCTGACTCTATTGATCAAGGTTAACTCTGGTTTCCCGCATCGTCGGGAATTCGCCTCCTACTCTCAGTCTTCCCAATGGTTCCGATTCGTCTCCTTTCAGCGCTCTCGCTGCTAGGAACCTACGTGTCTGCATTCCCAGTTGTGGAGCAGCAGCCTCTAGGTAACGGTCTTCAAGATGTGGTCCAGCTCGAGCCACCAAATGCCGATACGGAAGAGTCCTTCCGGGCACTTTCAGGCCGCTTCCTGCACATAACAGGTACATCTTTCCCCCTTGGTCTACACGATGTCAAAGGCAAAAGCAGAGGAGGGACAGGCTAACCATTCTCAGATTTTCATCCAGATCCCCTCTACGAGCCCGGAACATCGGACGAAAAGAGCTGCCACAGAGGTGATGGCTCCGCCGGGTACTACGGCGCCGAAGAGACCGAATGCGACTCGCCCTATGCCCTCGTTAACGAGACATTTCGCTGGATTGAGAACAACCTCAAAGACAATATTGACTTTGTCATTTGGACCGGTGACTCTGCACGGCATGACAACGATGAGAGGAATCCTCGCACGGCAGATGAGATCGTCCATTTGAACGAATTCATGGTGGATAAATTCACCGAGGTCTTCAGCGGCAGGGACTCAATCCCCATTGTTCCGACATTTGGCAATAACGACATCATGCCACATAATATTCTCAAGACTGGTCCGAATCGGTGGACGAAGAAGTATCGCGAAGTCTGGCACAAGTTTATCCCCGAGCATCAACGTCATAGCTTTGTCGAAGGCGGTTGGTTCGTCTCGGAGGTGATCCCCAATAAGCTGGCAGTTATTAGCTTGAATACTTTATACTTCTTCGACTCCAATTCTGCCGTCGATGGGTGCGACGCGAAATCGGAGCCTGGCTATGAACACATGGAGTGGCTTCGCGTCCAACTGGAGATGCTGCGGACACGTGATATGAAAGCCATTTTGATAGGTCATGTTCCTCCGGCAAGGTCCGGCAGTAAGCGCAGCTGGGATGAAACGTGCTGGCAAAAATATACATTATATGTGAACAGATTCCGTGACGTCGTCGTCGGCAGCGCATACGGGCACATGAATATTGATCACTTCATGTTGCAGGATAGTCGAAAAGTGGATATTGCTGCCAGCAGTGAGTCTCCTGTTTTGTCCGATCTTTACGACGGCTCAGGAGAGATCTCCGTCCAGTCTCGCTATGACTATCTCTCCAGTCTCAGGAAGGACTGGTCTAGTCTACCGTCCCCGCCTGATGGTATGCCGAAAGGCAACTTTTTGGCAGATGAATGGATCGAAAAGGAACATGAAATTGCGGCGAGCTCAAAGAGCTCAAAGCCCACCAAGAAAGAGAAGAAGTTCCTCAAGAAGATTGGCGGTCCCTGGGCCGAGAGGTACAGTGTGTCGTTGGTGTCACCGAGTGTGGTGCCGAACTTCTTCCCTACGCTGCGGGTAGTTGAGTATAACATTAGTGGCTTAGAGGATACCAAGATTTGGGCCGACGACTCTGCCTACAACGACTTGGATATGGCGAGTCCGGAGCACGACAAGAATGGCCTTTTGGCCGAGAAAAAGAAGAAAAAGTCCAAGGACAAGGTTCCCAAACCTCCATCGCCGGCTGCGCCTCCAGGGCCGGCATACTCTAACCAGGCGTTGACCTGGCTTAGGTACACTCAATACTATGCTAATCTGACCGAGATCAACCGGCGAATGGCCAAACGTCACCAAGTGTCGGCAGACGACCCGTCTAGCTCCATTCATGACGATGATGCTCGTGAGCTCAAGCTTGCAGATGTCTTTACGTTCGAGGTTGAATACGATACCCGACACGACAAGATTTACAAGATGGAAGATCTCACCGTGCGGAGTTTCTTCAAGCTGGCGAATCGGATTGCCAAGAACAAGCTGAGTAAAAGCGACGTCTGGGTTGCAGATGCGAACGCCGAAGATGCTCCTGGTACCGTCGATGACAGCGGAAACGAAGTAGAAGTGGAAGGGAAGAAGAAAAAGAAGAAGAAGAAGAAGCCTAAGAAGCCTAAGAATCGAGTATGGAGAGCATTCTTGGAGAGAGCTTTTGTCGGAACTCTGGACCGTGACGAACTTGATGACATAGAATAATGGTTTCTGCTTGCCTGTTCACCAGCGAGTTGAATTGGAAGTATACGACGTTATGGCTGCGACGTTTCCCTTGCTCTTAGCTTATCTGTGATGCTGCAATGTATATAGTCTTTCTAGTTTTGACCTTGGATAGTGGTCATTTGGTGACCACTATTGGAAATAGATCGCTGCTCATTGCTTCCACTCATTTGTCCTTCGGAAGAGGCGGTGGGGAACTGCCGCGGCAAACTGTTGCAGATGCAGGCTGTCGGTCATCATTCCTCCATCCACCCCCATCTAACTGATCAATCAGTCCTGTGCTTGTGGTATGACAGAGCCACTGATATCATCTCCTCTCATCTCCAGTTGTAATCGGAATTGATCGAGGGGGCCAATCTTCCACACAGCCCCATGGAAGACGCACAGATGCTTTTCGATGCCACGCTGGCAGACGGCCGCCAACTGTCATCGTCCAGTGCTGCCGCCATTCCCATGCAAAAGCCAACGCTAAGAAGCGCGCGGGCGCCGAGTTTCCACGCTTGCAGCTTAGTTCAGCGACCCAGCTCAGTGGCGGCTCGCTCATGCATAGAAAGATGGGTTTGGACCCGCGCTGGGCCTTTCATCTGCAACACTGCTCGCAGACCATGTGTGACTTTTGGCTGCAAAAAAAAAGAGGCTGGCGACAGCTGATCCACTGTGCTATTCCTATCTCATCCTCCCCGGCTGGATCGAAAGCTGCACGGCAGGGGAAATCAACAGTTGGGCTCTGACACGTATCCGGCTAACTGATGCGCTGTCCTTCCGCCTAATGCCTACTAAGTCTTAGGGACGGGACCATCATCCAACATGCCACCTTGTCCTTCGTAATTCCTTTTTGATCTCGGTGATGGTGGCCACCCAGGAAATGACGTTCCTCACCTTGGCTGCAATTGGTGCCCGATGTCTCATCTCCGCTTAGAACGGCGGCGAGGGCAGAATAAATTTGACGGGCACAGCAGGAACTAATCAAACATACCGGCGGTCTTCTAAATGATTGTATCTCCCGGAATACTCCCTCTTTCTACAGAAGCGGGGATCCATTCGCCCTATATGTATAGTGGAGCTTTGCCGCACTGATTCGCACGGCATTATACCTCCGCACTGCCGTGCCTTCATCCACTTGATTGTGGCCAGGGAAATATCAACGGGGCAGATAACTTGCCCTTGCATCATTATTGCTCCGCACATTCATTCACCATCGCTCTGATCCCACATCCTCACGCAGCTGCGACCGGAGTGTCCACACTCTAATTGGGATGAGCATTGCCTTTCAGGAACTTGACTTTTTGTGGTTGCATCTTTTGTTGCCTTACCCACGCAGGTTTCGTTTATGAGATAGCGATTTCAGGCCTCAAATTGCTGTCATCACTTCCGGCCCCAATCTCGTGGGCGGTGCCCGCCCATCGCTGGCAAGAAGCACAGACTAACGCCTTACTTCACCTAGTTGCACACGATGCATCAAGACTTCCTCCTATTTCACAACGACCAGCTCCTTGCCATTTGTTGTTTCGAATGCCCCCTTCCCCGTGCCTTGCATTTCTAATTCCCATCTATACCCTTTTGCGCTCTCACGCCCGCCTGACTATCATATTCTTCTGCCAGCATAACCCTGCGTGCAGAGCGGTTGACAGCAGGCTTGCTAAGAGTCTTCGTCTAGAAGAACTGTCTGGGTGGTTTCCTTTTCAGATTAACTTTTGCTATTTTAAAAGCTGATTGCACTACGGAGTACACCCGCAGTCTGATTCTCACTGATACTCCAATCAAAGGCCACTAATTGCTGACATTTGTAACATATTTGCGTTTGCTTTCCGGTTGAAATTGGCGGCTTTGTGCTTTCGATCGCTAGGAGTCTCTGTGCATGTACAACTGATCGGCTATTCAGTCCTATTCGGAAGCGGCACTGAGAGGCGGGGACAAGCCACAGATACGACGAGTCTGATTTTGAGACGGGCGCATCCAACGAAAGCCTGCGATTGCAATTGAGGATCTCAATTGGGGGACTGACAACCTAATACCTAAACATATCGAGGATTAGGCGCCAACACGAGCATGGGAAGCTTTGGTGCATGCGACGGCTGATCCATTTCTAACAACCGTTTTGCGCGCGCGTCCGAGGTAAGGCTCCCGATCCCTTGGCGCTTTGCATGTTTCACTCCGATGCATCTACTTTTTATATGAGTGCGGTGGGCAAGCTGTGCCCACCGACTGAGCATTCTCAACCGGCCCAATGCTGTGGGATCGGTCCTCCCCTCCAAAGTTGTCGCTCGGTTACACTTGATCGGAACTTGTTCTGTTATACACAAACCATCATGGATGTGACTAATTTGGCTGTCGATTGTCCTGTTATAGAGACCGGTTCCCTTGCTTTGTGGATGGCTTCCTCCGAAGTGGACCAGAAGGCCTTGGGCAACTTTGCGGCCATAACGGGCCTCGAGAACCCGTTCCTGTCCGCGATGCTGTACAAGATTCTGGGGTTGTCTGTTATGTTATCGAAAAAACTCCTCCGTGCACGACGATTGCGGCGCCTAGACCCCACCCGAGAGACTAAATCGCTTCATCTTTATTACCATATCATCTGGCTTTCGCGTGAGGGTCTTCTGATATTAGAGGAGTTCGTCCTGCCACTGGTTGAGGGATTTATGGAACTCAAAATTCTAGCTTACAAGCTGCGCGCCTCCTTTTACCATATATTCGTCCTATTTCAGAACCAGCCTGCTGTCCACTCGCCGGGTATCGTTAGTCTGCCGAGTAGTACACCTTTATCCAACGGCGTGACAGAAGCGGAGTCACCATCCAAGGACTCCAATTCGAGATTCTCATTTCAGCTGAAGCCCGACACGATAACGGTTTCCGGGAAGCCCAGTTCCGCCTCGGATAGTGCGCCACGAGGCAAGGTTACGCAGGCACCCCCGGGCTTTGCGCCGGTTCAACCACCCAAGTCGAACTCGGCGTTTCTCCTTCCTGCTCTCGATTATACCCCTACAGCTACCGCATGCTTCAATCATGCTGCCCTCTTGGCAGATCAATTCCTCCCGGGGTCGCACCCGCTCCGTCTGTCCATCAAGCTTGAATTTGCCGCCTACCTCTACGATTGCCTACATGACGCTCATGCCTGTCGACGGTTGGCCAAGCAAGCCATTGCCGATGTGTACAATGCGCAAGAGGGCATGGACGACGAGAGCTTCGAGGATGCGGCTGAAATTGTGGGTATCTTGGGCAAGATGGTGAAGCGGGGAAGGAACACAAGCAGTGCTGGGAATAGTACCACGGCTGTGAAAACGCCCCGGGAGGAGCGCAGTGAGGGTAGTCGAACACCATCCTCTCAGACAACGTTGAAAAGGCCGGCGCGAGTGCCGAAAAGCACCTCCTCACCGGCGCGCGCGACCAAGCCGACGACTAGCGAGGGGATGTCTCCCGCTGTGCCCGACCCCACCATGATGAATCCCATATTATGCCTTTCCCTACGACCTGTATATGCTTCTTCTTGGAACTATGGAGTCGCGCATGAGCGCTTGGCCTGTGACTTTTACTTGACTTGCACCTGCCTGTATCATCTCTGTAACGGAGTTGCGGCGATAGACTGGAATTGGGCATCAGCTTGCGGGGAGCTGTGGATAGGATGAGCGATTAAGCGCGACGAAAAGTTGAGGTGGAAGGGGCAGACCAGCCAGTTGTAATGGTGACTGTAGATAGATAGATGTGTGCGATACAAAGTATGTTGTTGATGTCATGCACCCCACTTGTGTATGCTTGTCTGGACAATGGACCTACACTTAGTCGCAACAACTGTATGTCTCAAGCCAATGGCCATGGGGCAGGATGGATCGATGGATCTCTTGTTGATGTTGCAGTGGAGGCCAGCGCATTGTCGCCTGAGGCAACCCCCCACCCAGGGTCCGGCGTAACATACCATACCGAGCGAGACGAGATAAATTACCGGCGAGCAGCAGTTTTCCCATTTTCCTCCTGAATGAATCTTCAGGTAATATTCAGCGATTGCTGGATCAAGAAATAGAATTGACTGATGCCTGCGGGGGGCAACTTTAATTGACTGCCCATCACACAGAAAAAAAAAGGAAGAGTCAGCACGCAAACGGTCAATCTGATTCTATAGATACCTTTTTTTTTCAATCGACGGGGGTGGATTACGACGACGACCCTTCTTGGCGCACCACCCGCGAAGGCCATCATCGCCAGCAAGAAACCTTTAGCATTGCGACCCTTTGGGTTCTGTCTTTTACGTCATTCGACGGTGATCATCTCCTGCAGCATCCGGCAGCCATAGTCTTTTTTCATCTCCAGCTGATCGTGCGCGCAAATCAGATCCCCCCTTCGTCCTCCACGTCGTTTCCCCCACCATCATTTGTGTTGTCTTCTCTTCGTTGCCGGGGGCTCGAGTGCAAAGGACGCGCCTGCTTCCCGACCGTCCGACCGCCTGATCGACATCATCGCCCAGAAGCGAAGGACGCAGATCCAGCGCAAGACCCTGAAAAAAGAAACACACCCGAACGAGGTCCTGCCCCAAGGCTGCGCGCGCAATCACGCCTGTCAGAAGACCCGTAACGAGGCTTGCGACGCATCTATACTTCTTACTTACTTGCATAAACCCTCCGAAGCTTGATCTTTTACCAATTTCCAATTTTCTCCCTTTAATTTTTTTTGGATTCTCTCGCTGGCAATGAAGCTGTTTGTTCCGGAAGCCTCTCAAGCACGCGGGATCCTCATCGGCTGTTAGAAATACCTCTTTTCTCTCCGAGGACTGTGGATTGGAAACCAAAGTCAGGCCTTGTTGGTCGCTGACTGTGGATAATGCGGTCGGGGCTTCAGAAACCTGGGGCCATTCCGTTTCTTGCTCTTTTGGTCTTTTCGCTATTTAGTCTGGTGCCGTCGCTAGCAAAGGAATGGGATTTGTATAACGTGCGCCTGGGGTATATTGGCTATCGCAACGATGTTCGACGTATGCATTCCTTATTTCTTCTTCTTCCTTTCCCCTCCCCCTTTTCTTTCCCCCATGTGTTTGGCTGAGTCAGACAAAGCTAACGGTGGTGCTTCTGCAGATGTCTCTCGGGTAAAAGATAACTGGGCCGATGTTCGAACAACAAGATCTCGGGTTTCTGGGACTGGCTGGAAGCCATGGCTTCTAGATGGATATTATCAGGAGTTCTATGAGCGCAAAGCTCGTCCGCGACGTTGTGCGGTGGACGCGCCCTCTCGGAGCTCCTTCGAGGCTGCTGCCGTCTTCGATACCGATCCTTTGGCATTTCCGGCCCGAGAATCCTCGGCTTTCACTCGGGGGGTGCGCGCGTTTAAGGCAATGGTCATCAGGCAGCCGGATGAGTCGCAATTACTTCCGACATTCTCGGCGGAGGGTGATGCCATTGAACAATTACCTACGCGGCTAAGTGCGCTCGTTAATTCCTCAGTTACTGCGGCTGCTCCTCCCGACGGCGGACTTTTCGGGGTGTCGCCTACGAGCAATTCCATGATACCGGCCACCAGCAGCGTGATTGAGGTATCCCGATGGTTGCTGGGGTTGTCCCGTGCCTCATGGCAGCAGGTCTGTCGCGCGGGGAGCGAGTATATGGAGAACATGCCTGCTTGGCCTAGTCTTCGCGAAGCCAGCCAACCCATCGACCTCTCACGACACGACAACCACACCACCTCCTCTCATCCGACAGTCCCACATAACCACGCGCCCCGCGAACAACCTATACCCCCCAAAGCAGTAGTTGTGAATCGCAGCGACGACGTCGATGACACCAGTCATTCCGCATCAACGCCAAGCGCTACGCCGCCCCCGCCGGCGCTCTCCCAAAACAGCACCGCAACGACTGCTGGCCAGTCCAAAGTTGCGGGATTCCAGCAGGAGACAGAGCACATGCGCCGGGGAAGCTGCATGGCCATAGTGATCGGCCTAGTGGTGGGCGTGATGTGGTTTTAGCACCACCTATCTATCCACACTCCAGTCATAGGATTGGCTGGCTGGCTTATTATGATTCTTTGCAGATTTTTGCTTCCTTTTTGCTCCCACTGTATTTGGTTCGTTGTACATCACTTGCTGGGGTCTGATGAGACGCCCATTTGTTCTTTCATGCCTTTACGACTGTTGGACGGAACGGATATAGGAATGGGATGGGATGGGATGGGCTAGACATAGGAGCAGCCCGAACTGGCCTGTCGAGTGCAGTATGCCAATCAATATATAATAATTTCATCATGCGATACAGCAGTGGTCCTCAGTGCGTATATACTAGTAAGTAGGTGCCGCGCTCTAGGTCGGATTCGCGCATGCTACCAACTTACTCAAAACCCACGTATCATTTCGTAACCTCACATTCCTTAGATGGGGACCATAGATGTACTACTATCCACCATCGTACTGCCTATATAGTACTACCCATACAACCACCCCGCACCGCACCGTACTACTTGCCATCCCATCTCACCTCACCCGAAAGACCCCTCTAAAAGCTAACGACAATCTACAACGAAGTACTACTACCCGCCCTCTTCATCCTCATCCCATGCACCACCGCCAACACCCCAATCACCGCCACGCATTCCAACACCACCGCGAGCTGCCACGACCTCGTCAACGCCTCATTCAGCACCACCAACACCGCCCGCTTCCCTTGCCCCGACAGCCCCTCCGTAAGAGTCGAAATCCCACCAGACAATAACCTACTCACGTCAAGTCCATCACCGACAGCAGTGCCCTCCAACCCGGCACTCAGCTCATTCGTGAAGAGGGCTTGGGCGACGGCAACAAATATAGACCTGCATATAACGTTATGAAGGTGTCAGTTAGTTTTCGCCTTGGAACAGTGATAAAGAGGAATGGATACATACGCTCCCACTGTCTGCGAAAACATCACCAACCCCGACCCAATAGGAATATCCTTCAATGGCAGGGCCTGCTGCGCCACCATCAACGGGGTCACACTACATAGACTCGACGACACGGCGAAGATAATCTGATATCCGATCCATTTCCCTGTGGATGTGTCGACTGTGAAGGTGGTGAAGAGGCCGGAGCCTATGGCGCCGAAGATCGTCGCTATTCCCCATGAATAAGTCCGGGTGGCCGACTTTGGACATTAGGATCCCGCCGGCTAGGGAGACGATCGTGCTGGTTATAACCCAGGGTAGGGTCCAGATTCCGGATTGGATGGGGGTGGCGGATTTGACGCCTTGGAACCAGCTATTTCAGGTCAGTCGGTTGTGGGGGGCGTGAGAAGGGAGAAGGGAAGGGGAGGTACATGGGGAGGTAGTAAGTGAGCACGAAGATGGCGCTGACAGTGCAGAAACCAAAGAAGGATGCTGCTGAGACGGTGCGTTGGGTGAAGACTCGCGAGGGGAGCATGGCTTTGGGGCCTTGCCAGATTTCGACGCTGATGAATGCAATGGCGAGGATGCCTGCTAGGACTAGCAGTACAATGATACGGGCGTCTTGCCAGGCGTATTTGAGGCCGCCCCATTGCAGGGCTAGGAGGAGGCAGACGATGGATGGAAGAAGAGCCACGAGACCGAATAGATCGAGGGTCCTGAGGAACTCCGTCCAGGAGGTGAAAGCTTCGTGGTCTCGTTTGGGCGGATGGACTAGAAGGAAGAAGGCAATTTGGATGACGGCGCCTATGGGGAGGTTGATGTAGAAATTCCACCGCCAGGAGACCTTTTCAGTGAGGACTCCTCCGATCAAGGGTCCAAATGTTGTGGCGAGTCCGCGGGAGCCTGAGAGAAGACCGAGGATGATAGGGCGTTTGGCTGGGGCGACGAGGATCGGGACGAGAGAGAAGGCAGCGACTAGGAGACCTGAGCAGCCTACGCCGGCCAGGGCGCGGCCGATGATGAGGGAGTGGGAGTTGGGCGCGGCGCCGCAGACGGCGGAGCCTACGAGGAAGAAGAGCATTGAGATGCTGTATATCCAACGGACGGAGTAGCGGGCGAGGAGTTTGCCAAAGAGGAGTTGGGTCGTGCAGATGACCATGGTGTAGACGCTACTGTACCAGCCGACATCCCCGAGAGAGTGGAAGTCGTCGGAGATATACGGCGTCGCCGTCGCGATGATGGTGCTGTCCTAGATGTAGGGTTCGCGTGTTAGTGCATGTAGTACTCAGCTTGAAGAGGGCATACCAAGGTGACGAGGAAGATTGCCAGACACAAGGTTGCAACTGCGAGATAGTATTTAATCCCTGATGGGTATTGGGAAGCTGGAGCTGCGATTGTTACACCTTGACTGTTGTCTTTGGCCTCGTTCTTGTCGGTGGCCTGTTCTTGAGGCTGAGAGGCCTCAATGCTGCGCAGAGAAATGCTGTCGGATCTCTCCATATTGGAGAGCCTTTGATATGATATGAACGAAAAACGAGTGAAAATCAAACGAGCGACTGATTGACCGACACACTAGATGAGCGAATCTTTTTGACCTGACATGGTGAGTTCAGGGGAACAGCCCACAATAACAGAAATCGAGTCACGGCCACACCACGCGTCTAGTCCCCATCCTGGCTAGCAAGGCTGGCAGGGTTCAGCACAAACTAGCGAGAACTTAAGAGACAAGGTTATGATAGGTAGGGAAGAGGACAAAGAACCCCGGCAAAAGCAACTAATCACTGCATCGAATACTTCCCCGAGGTAACATTCGGGCTTTCAGTCTGCCTATCAAGAATATGTGGGTGCTGACAGAACTGATTGCGTTGCCAGAGATCATGAAGCCGAGTATATCATCCTTACCTTTCTCCACCGCGTGTCTCACTAAATGGAGGAGCGATCGAGGGCATGGAAATACCCCCGCCTATACTAGTATACTAGTGCAGTGACACCACGACTATTCCCCACTATAATTATTAGGCATCTAGATGTCATCCAGCCACCGTCGATCTCCGTTGCCATTGCTGGCATGGTGTGTCGCTGTATCCCAATGTCCGAAGTTCCTCCATTAGTGGGAGACAGCGCTGCGCGAATCGCGGAGGATGACCGATCTCGGTTTCTGACTCGCTTCGATGTGCTATGCTAGTCTCCGATCTAGAACTCGATGGATAGAAGCCACATACATACCGGTCATCCACCATAGCTGTCCAAAGTTACTGCTACAGTGTCATCTTATCAATGATGAAACGAGACATACCAAGCAACGTCCACATTCCAACCCCCGCAGTGAAAACATCACCAGGAATGTGCCCAGACAGCACTATATAAACCCTGCAGCATTCATGCTACATCATGTTCGCTCTTTCTTCCCATTGTCCAATACCACTCCATCCAGTCTACCAGTATACAAGAATACCTTATAGCAATGAAACCTCCCACTATCTTAGCCACCATTGTCACTCTGACCCTAGCTGGGCTGTCTGTGGCCGATAAAACCTGCACCCCGAGCTTTGATTACTGCTCGGATGTGCTGTTGAACTCCAAGGGTAAGCCGCCGTCAACTATTCAGACTGCCATATACTATCTACTTCGCAATCCGACTCCTCTATGCTAATATGGAACCGATACAGGCTTCTCTCAGTCTGACCTGACAGATGCCCTTCAAGGCACTGGATATGAGAACCAAAACCTGAGCAACATTCTCTTCCACTGTACGAATCCGGGTCAGATTGGCCATGCAAAGTTGTGTGATAATGGGTGTGTGGACCCTCCGCAGGAGGGGAGCCATGGATGTGATGGTTAAATGAGATAGCATGGGGACTTGGCTGGTGCTGGAGAGTACCATAAAGTGAAATGATTGACCATTGTTGTTGTATGAGATTGAAATCAAAGGTTGAGGTTGAGATTGGATTCACATTCGGAGGCTCAAGGCTGCCCGGGCCACGCGCGACACCAGTTGGCGGACGCGCCCGCGGGAAGTTCCCTTCGCATTTTCCCATCCATCAGTTAGTGGCTGTTGCACTCATTGTGGCTTGCGAATTTCTGTGATTTCCAAACTATAATATATGTTATAATTAAATTCGACGCTTTACCATAATCATTTTCTCAGTACCTGAGGCATGCATGCGACCGCTACATCGCACACAGACCAACGCGCAGCCGGCGCCATGAACGTACCCCCAACTCCCTGTTGCGTCTGCCGCTTAAAAAGGCGGCGATGTGACAGGTCTCAACCTAGTCTGCCCTCTATACCTCTACCCATTGTAAAGTGGAGCTAACGCTAGCCAGCCTGTGGAGGATGCAAGAAACGAGGACTAGACGAACAATGTTCCTACCGGCCCGAGGATATGCCTCCCGCCACGTACGTCTGCACGTGTATATGATGAGCTTGAACCAGCCTGACATCCTGCAGCTCTCATAAAAAAGCCAAAATATCTCATTCGGGTGATGAGAGTCGGTCTCTCTCCCCTCCGAGGCTACAAACCCTGCCACGCAATCCTCCCATTGTTGCCCCGCGCTCGCAGAGGAAGCGTCGACGGGATGAGTCCTTTCCACCCCGGCATGATCGAAACCGAGGTGACTCGGTGGAGGTATACTCCATCATCTCAGATGGCAGCGACCCTCCTAACCCGCCGGGCACCGGGATTAATGCCCACATCTCACGCCTGACCCGGCTGCAGCAGGCCGTAGATGCAAGAACAGGCCGGGTGAAGACTGAAGCTCCAATCGAAGATGGCATATTCTCGCTGCAAGATACAGGGCGAGACTGCCCTCCTCACTTGACCATTGCCGAATCTCCAGCCCAATTGCCCTCAGACCTGATGAACAGTCTGATTGCAACCTATCTGGCCCGCGACTATGTGAACTGGCCGATCTTCGATCTGTCAGACTTCCAGTCGGCCCGTGAGAAGGTTGGCGACATGCAGGACCTCACGGCTGGGTCGAGTGGCCTCCACGCCATCCTCAAGATGATTTTGTGTCTCTCTGGGCTGAGATACCATCAAGTAGATGAAGCCTATCTGCAATCTCTCTTCAACCACGCCCAGAGAATGACAAACAGCCCAGATTGGCAAGGCACGCCCTGGGTACGCGTACAATGTCTCTTCCTACAATGCCAGTACCTCAACGCAACAGGGAAATCAAAGCAAGCCTGGGCCCTAATTGGCTACGCCATCCGCACCATGCAAGCCCTAGGACTGCAGCCACAGACAAACGCCCATAACGGACGGGAACGACAGCAGCGCGAACTCGGCCGCAGGCTCTGGCACAGCGCAATCATCCTAGAGCGAATGCTAGCATTACAACTAGGCCTACCACCCCAGGTCTCCAATCCCCTCCAGGTACATCTGCCCACGCACCTGGACACCGACTACATCGACACCGTATCAGGCGGAGCGCCCAACTCCAGCGGAGACCGACCCTCGATCATCGAGCTCTTAATCGCATGCGCCAGACTCTACACCCACGTCGAAGAGATAAGTGCTTGGGAATCTGAAGCAAGAATCCGACCAGACACCTGCGCCGCCAAGAAGCTCCTCGCCCTGGACCTCTCCCCATTCCTGAAAACAGATGCTCTCCTCTACGACTGGCAGACATCCCTGCCCTCATTCCTTCGCACCGACGAAACATTCGAACTAGCCGATGACCCCATTGTTCGCCGCCAACGCCACACCCTGCACGCGCGTTACCTCTACCTTCGTCTCCGACTTTATCGGCCCCTTTTAGCTCTGAGCCTCGCCCTGTCAGCCAAATGCACCTGCCGGTCAAACAAACACCCTCACATGTCGGAGACAGACCCTTCTTCTTCTGTCAACTCCCCTATACTGGTAACCATCGTCCGCGACACCTCCCTCAAATGCGCCACCATCGCCGCAGACCTCGCCGACTTGATCGAAGAAACTGAGGACGGGCTGCTCGATGGCGGTCCAGATGATACCTGGCGCAGCGCTGGATCGCCATACTGGGAGAACGTGGAGTATCTCTATGCGTGTGGGATTGTTATCCTGGCGGCGCGGCTGTGCCCCAGCTCGGGCGTGGCGCAGCTGAAGAGGGCCTGGACGAGGGTTATTTCCTTGTTGACAAGGTATGAAGGTTTCCGGGCTGGGGAGTATGCTCGTCTTGCGAGGTTGGGAAGGAACACGCTTGAGAATCTGGCGGGTGCGTTGCAGAGGGATGTGGGGGAGGCGATGGTGATGGGATTAGATAGGGAGACGAGGACGAGGTTGGTGGGGAGGACAAGTGGCGGTGCTGTGGACTCGTCGGGGGGAAGGCGTAGACAAAGTCGGGGTCAGGGTCAGAGTCAGAGTCAACGGGGGGGTTTGGGTTGGGTTGAGAGCTTGTTGATTGATTTGGTGGGGGATGATGTATGATGTAAATAGATACCCTTTATGTTTTGATTGATGGCAGTTACGATTAGAGATCCACGGACAATATATTGCAGGATACACTACTAGTATTAACCTACTACATCTACTAGTGCGGAGTGCATTCAACCCTCTACCTAGATATCCAAACACAACTACTATCACTAATGAGATAGTATACAAGAAGGGATATATATTCGGCCCAATACTCGCACGAAACCCGAACCGAACCCATAGTACTAGTAGTACTACTATAGTTACTTACCTAACTCAGAATAATCTTCCCACGAACGCCTCCTATAGTACGTTTTTTGACATTTACTTATATAGATCTCGTCGTTGCGGATGCCATGACCCTGCCGACCTCCCCATCGAGTGCGTCGGAGACAGCCAAGAGCAGGAAGACAAATGCTGCGGGTCCCACATACAAGCCTGAACCTTTCATATGAAACTGATAACACATGCATATTTACAGTATATATACACAATCCTAGACAGCTGCTTCAAGCTCAAGCTCAAGCTACTGCTTGTTCTCCGCCTCGTCGATCAGAGTCTCCATCTCCTGCTCCGTCCACCGATGGAACAGCTTCTTCGGATCCGACAACGACGCGTCACTCTGGACCGATTGGACGTGTAGCACGGGGACATCAAAATCATAGACATCCTTCCAGGGCTTATTGCTCGGGAGCTGGATATCCAACTCAGTGTAGTCGAAGGGACGGCGCTTGTGCAGCTTAGTGACGGTGAGTTTGGCGGTGTCGCAGAGGCCGCAATTGGCGCGGGTGAAGAGGGTGACGCGAGCAGCGGCGAGACGGGCGGCGGTGGGGAGCATGTTTGCCGTATGATAAGGATATCTAGATAATTAAGGGAAGTCCAAGTTGAAGTAAATAAATCAAGAATATAGAAACTTGAAAGATGGAATCGCGGGGAAGAGCAAGAATGAATTGAATGAATGGAACCTTCGAGCTCCCCCCGGCTAAGCCCGTTTGGGCCGAACCTCAGCGGCGGTTCTTCGACCTTCGATGTTTGCGACGATCAATCTTTTCCCCCCATAGACTCATTATTCCTCACCCAGGAGATACAGTTAAACCGTCGGTC